ATTAATAAATAAGACAAAAGATGGATCACCTTTTGAACACTTATAAGAAATAGTGTTTAATTCACCATCATTTCTTACAATAGAATGTAATCTAACATGATTTAAATTCTGATTAAACATATCAGAATTTAGCCTAGAAACATTATCAAAACACTAAACCACAGCAGGATCAACATTTAATTCACCATCACTTCCCACAACATAATGTAGTCTAATGTGATTTACATTTTGATTAAACATATTAGAACTTAGCTCAAAAACATGATTAAAACACTGAACCACAATAGAATCAACAACATTATCACTGTTCTTAACTTCATTATGAAGAACTCTTATACTTTGAGAAACAACATTATCAACTTCTCCAAACACAGCATCATTTATATTATAACTGATTAAACTTCTTTGTCATCTCATTCTATTAAATCGAAGTATGTTTAACCTTCTAAATCTATTTATAGTTCACTGACTTCTAGAATAGATGAAAATAAAAACTTCATAAAGATTAGACTAATCGATTTGTACTCTTATTATTCTCACATGTCTATTTTACCTAAACTTGTTATGACTCATCATTTAATCTAATACAAAAACACCCCTAAAATAGTAAAAATTAAAATGAAGCCTAAAATCCTGTAAAGAAAAACAAAAAATAATTACACAAAATTTAATTGAAATACAAACCACAAATAAAGCTCTTTTAACAATCAAAGTCAATGATTAATCTAATAATTACAATAATATCAACATCAATCCATTTTTAATATTTAACATAATAACAATTAAAATAGTTTAAAAAACACAGTTTTATAGTTATTCATCAAAGAATAAACAAAACACTAAACAAAAGCAAATAAAAAATAACTTCAAATCAAAAGTGAAAAAGTTTAAAGAAATGATAATTAAACCTTAACTTTTATCTCCACTAATAGAATTTTGAAATCACTTCAAGATTAACAAATTTCTACAAACTACAAAAACGTAAACAACATAAAAAAAACTATAAATATAAAAACAAATTTCAGACTCAAATAATAATGATAGGAATTTGATTAATTATAAATCAATGACAATAATAATGAATGACATAATCTAATACAGACAATTAACCAAACATATATCACAATAGAAAAATGGCATAAACAAAAAACAATATAACTGATTACACAAATCTATTAGAACACTACAAAAAATATATCATATTTAAAACACAAAATTTGTTAAAAATACAAAAAAAAAAATACAAACCTTATAAACCATCAAACATTAAAAAAATAAAAAATAAAATCCTATATTATGAAAGCACTAGCATAACGTCACACACCATGCCTTTCAACAAAAAACTCAAATAAAATACATTCGATTATCACTTTACAGAAAAAAAATATGAAAACAAATAATTATAAAAACAATTTAAGTATATATAATAATAAATCATCACCCAGACTAAAACAACCTTACGCTCGCCTAAAACTAAAAGCCAACTAACCATACAAATATCAAACTTTTAATAACATCAATAACATAAAAATACTAAATAAAATTATACTCACCTTCGTAAAAAAACACAAACTCTAACATCATTATAATTAAAACAACATTATCTCAAACCTAAACTCTACTATTGATGTAGCTATAGTAATTAATTAGTGTAAATACTATTAAAACAAACACCCAAAACATGTACACTAATAACACAATAAATCTAAAATAACATAATCCAATACATGAAAAAAATTCAATACAAATCAATTAAATTATGCAAAAAAATGTAAACCATTTAGAAAAAAACTACTTCATAATTACAAATAAATCATCCTCTTAGTATAACAATATTCATTATAGTCTATACAATTGTATAACCTTACATCAACTACCAAAAACACAATAAAAATAAAATAAAATAACATGTATTCAAAACTAACATAACTACAATCTACTCAATTACCGTTAGTTTGATCAAGTTTCTAATAGAGTAAAAATACACAAAAAAGAATTTATAAGTAAATATAAAAAAACACAAATTTTAGATATATAAAGTATATCTCAGGCATGAACATACAATCATATAAAACAAACAAACTAAATGTATAATGATCTTGCTATTTGTAGAGAACAGTTCAAAATAATATAATTAAACACCCAAAAAATACAAACAAAAAACACAATAAATCTAAAATAATATAATCAAACACATGAAAAAAATCCCAATACAAATCAATTAAATCATGCAAAAAAATATAAACCACTTATAAAAAAGATTACCCCAAAATTACAAAACAAAGCACTTATTGCCAAAACAACATTCATCACCAATTACTAAAACCACAATAAAAATAAAAACAAAATAACATGCATTCCAAAATCAAAACTAATTCAAATATTAAATACCAACAACATCATAAACAAACCTTAACTTAACTATCAACAGCAAGAATTCTTGAATAACTGTAAAGTTAAGAAATTCTTACAAACCACAAAATCATTATTAGAATAGGAATAAAACTGTAAGAATACAAAAAAAAAAAATAGCTTAATAAAATCAAATAAAAAACTGCATACACTCTATTAATCATAAAATTAAGTACAAACTTAAATGACAAACAAAACAACAATATAAAACAATTACAAAATCTTCTATACTATAATTAAATAGAAAATAACAACCTTAATTTAAAATTTCAAAATCAACTTTAGAATTTCAAAATCTTCCCCCAAACCTTAATTAATAACAACCTACATAAACTAAATCCAACAAAACTAATAAATAAATCAAATAATAGTATTACTTATAGTAGAAAATTATAACATATGACCAATACCTTTAAAAAATAAAACTTCTAGTTGTCAAAATGCAAACTATAAAACCTAACTACCTGTAAGTTTCAAAGCATATATTAATAGTTCAAATAATATATAATCATTTAATTACAACCAAAACATTTATATATTTAAAATTCAAAACCATTACGTAACAATAGAATAATATAAGATATCCATAATCACCCAACATCACAAACAAATTTTCAAATTCCATAAAAGTTTCTTTTTTTTTTATTGCATATCAACCATTTTATCTTATGTAAACACAATTTATACAACCACCATTAATTTAAGCAAACTTAAACTGTAGTAAAAACAAATCAAAATTAGCAAACTAAAAGTAAATACCTAAATATACACCGAACTTTTAGATATAAACGAACAACAAAAAAGCTCCTACAATGAATAAAACCAACACTGACAACTATTATAACAACAATCCAAAACCAATCCAAACACAATACCAAAACTTAAAAAATACAAAAATGGTAACTTATACAATACATGTAAAACAATAAAACAAACAACACACATGCATATGAAAAATAACAAAAAAAATTCAAATAAATGATTAAAATATGATGTAGTTTTTCATACAACAAAAAAAATCCAAAAATAATTTGATAAATAAAACATAAATACTCACCTTCCAACATAAACACATCTCCGATTACTAACCTAAAACAAAACAAAAAAACCATAACTAAACCAAAAAAATTACCATGCATGAAAATAAAAAACACAATGCACAGGAAAAAAAATCAAAACACAAAAAGAAAACCCACAAATCATAAAAACAACAATCTGGATAATGCATGAAAAATAAAAACTGTAAATTGCAAAATACCTATACCCACAGACGAAAATATCAAAATTATTTGAATTCTAAGTTAACCCTCATGAAATTACTCTATCAACAAAAAAGAAAATAAAAAACGAATAAATGAAACATGAGACCAAATGAAGAAACCAACTTGGAAGAAGAAAACGAAAAAAACAAAGAAAGTTTGACGTAATGAGAAACAAAAGAAAAGCCAAAGCACACTGCACACCAATATTAAAAACAACCTCTCAAATTTTCAAAATAATCAAACAATCATATTGTTTTGACATTGCTGACGTGGTAGGGAAAAACATCAAAAGGGGATAGTTTTTATATATTCTTATAGATAGTTATAATTTTTTTATCTTTTTTCTATATTTGAATTGTTCCACATAAGAAAAATCACTCATAAACGTTAAAAAGTTATAATGCAATTATTAGCATTGACATGATTCTCAAACCCTTATTTATGATCTTTGATTGTTTGAATTCTTGTTAATTCGATCTTTTACTAGTTTGATTCCTTTTTTTTTTTAATCACATGAACTGATACGATCTTCGACTAAAACCCAATCAAATAGTACAAAATGTACTCAAAATTATCTCATCATTTAGATTAAACTAAGCTTCAATAATGCAATGGTAACTTAACAAGCACCCAAAAAATGCAAGTTTAATTAAATTTATATGACTCAAGTAAATAACTAGTTGAGTTTAAAAATAAAAAATAAACTTAAATGAGCTCACTTCAAATTTCAAATTTCTAGATCGAATAAAACTAAAACTTGATGATGTATTAATTTGATTTGATTTGATTATACTCTATTTATTTTTTTAAACAATTTAGTATCATATAATAATGCATGTTATATTTTAAAATGACAAAGTCATTAAAAATATGTGATAATAACTTAAAGCATTTTAAAAACAAACTATAACACTTGCTACAAACTTAATTTATTAAGCCAAATTTTCGGTTAAAACTATTTGATCTGTCATTAAATGCTTTTTATTTAATTCACAATTGAAGAGAGTGACATAACATTAGATAGTTACGATCTTTTTATGTTTTTATATTTGAATTATAACACGTGAGAAGGATCACTTGCAGGTGTTAAAAAAGTTAAAATGTAATTATAATTCATAATTACCATTCACTTCGATACGATTCTTAAAACCTTAGTTTATGATCTTTGACTATTCTAATTCTTATTAATTTTGATCTTTAACAGTTTTGATTTCCCATTGTTTTTTAGTGGAACTAATAATATCTTCAACTAAAAACTGATCAGACAGTAAGAATTTACCCTAAATTATTTCTTAGTTTAGATTTAACTAATTTTCAATAATGCTGAAGAGATGTTGAGAATGTGGACCTCAAGAAGTTATGAGTTACGGAATTCTCTTAACACTGTCATTCTTCCACTTGGACGGCTTGACATTGGACTTTCTCGCCACAGAGCCCTGCTTTTTAAGGTTGTAAAAACCCTTGACTCATCTTATTTCCATAAGTTAAAATAACTCACAAAAGAACTATATTTTACTTTTAACTTTGCTTATGTCTGTGTCACCCCCTATCTTTAATATTCATTTGATGAAAATTGTTTCGCTTGTTTTTCTGCTAGTCATAATATCCTGCCACTTTTGTCTAGTTTTACCTTGCATTAAGGCTAAATGCGTCTGGAGTCTGGACCTTTTATAAGGAAACTGTTTCATGCTTCTGGTTCTAGGTTCTAGCTGATAGAATTAATCTCCCATGCATGCTGGTCAAAGGGAGCTATTACACTGGTACTGATGATGGAGCTGTGAACCTGGTTAGAATCAACAATGGAAGGTACTTTCCTTCCAGCTTAGATCTACAAATTCTTCTATCTTTGATTTTGGTAACTATGCTTTGCATTTCTACAATATATGCATATTAGGGTCTTTTTTCTTGAGTTATTCCCTCAAACTTGGTGTCATGCCAGTTTAATTTTTTTTGTTTCCTGCTGTTCTTTAGTTGATGCAAATCTTTTCCTTCATTCTAAGTTCACATAAGTTTGGCGTTTGCAGTTTTTTCAATTCCATTCCTTCCTGTCTTCTGTTTTATGCTGTTTTGCTGTCTATTACAAGAGAAAAGTTTAATTTTGTATTGGTGCAAATTTTGATGATGTAATTAATTATATGAAATTATGCAGTGAGTATATTATTGATCTGATGGGTGCTCCTCGCAGACTAATTCCTGCTGAAGTACCAAGCTGTCACCTCCTAAATTCTGCAGTGGATGTAAGGGGCTTTTTTGATCTTACTGAAGCCTCTAATGGTTCATGTTTGCTGGTTGACAAAGGAATTGGAAATGTGGCAGTTTCAGCTGCTCTAGATACGGGCCCTAAAGTTGGTGCAATGAGGTCAGCGGAATTTATCAGCAGTCAGACAACTGAAGATGAGAAGAACATCGCTGGAAGAGCTGTTTTTGAGTGGTCAGAACAGGAGTTTGGGGAGCTTCTTCCCTCGGCGCCTAAACATAGTGAAAGTTTTTCTGGCATTCTTGAAAAACCATCATCAGCGCAAAAGAGAAAGGTTAAGAATGTTTCTAAGTATGTTATTAGTGCAGCAAAGGACCCAGAATTCGCTCAGAAATTACATGCTGTTTTGTTGGAGAGTGGTGCATCACCTCCTCCAGATTTGTTCACGGATATTAATTCACAGGATCTTGGTGAAGAAAGTATGCCTGAACAAGTAGTGAAAGGGACAAATGTAGATGATGCTTCTATCTGCCATTCAAATGAGTTGTCAAGCGATGAGCACTGTCTTGTATCCTCTAGAATGGAGACTAATTCCGATACCAGACAAAAGCAAATGTCTAAACATCAAAGAGAGTTGGAAACGGATGTCATAAAAACTAATGTTGCATCTTCCTCTGATGCTTCAAGTGAGGGATTTCTTCTTGTTGGTAATACAACTAATGATTGGATACATGTTCGCGAATCTTCCCTCTGCTCTGCTAATGAGTTTTGCAAAATTCATCCAGAAAATGTCTTGGCCACAGATGAGAAACTAATACAAAGGACTTCTGATACTGATTTCAGTAAAGAATCTGCATTGGAATTGATTGAAACAAAAGATAGTGACTTGCATTTGGCTAGCAATGGTCACAGTGAGAAGATTTATCCTATGCTAAGGGAGGTTTCAGAATGGGAAATTCCATGGGAGGATCTTCAAATTGGTGAACGCATTGGTATTGGTAAGGTCTCATAATAACATAATTAATCTTCATTTTTATATGTGTCAGTGGCTTTGCTTTCCATTATTCTTTTGAGTTTCAGATTTTGTGTTTCAAGTATTAATGTGATATAGCTTGTAATACAATTACATAAAAGCTGAATCTGGTCAGCATAGATATACGAGTTATTTGACAGTGCATTCTACTCTAAGCTTTGTTAGTGTATGCGTATGTGTGAGTTGGAATATTATGGGAATGTTACAGGGAGATGGTTTAGGAGGGATTAATTGGGAGCATTAATGTGTAATTTGTAACTGATTCTCTTTCCTTAGTATTGTCTATATTAATGAAAGGCTAATCCAAGGGATTATCAAGCAAGTTTTTCTCTAAAGCCTTAATTCTAACATGGTACTAGAGCCAATAGCGCAACCCTAGTTGTTGCCGCCCACCTTTCTCTCTTTTTCCCCAAACCCCTCTGCGATAGTCTCTGCGTCGTCACCTAAGCCGTCGCTATTACAAACTTTGATCTCGCAACCCTAAAGCTACATACTTAAAACTTTTCCTTCCTCTTTAGTAGTCCCTCATTAGTTGAAAGGGGCTGCCCCCTTATTCTCAAAAGTGGCAAGAAGAAGGGGTTGCAACCTCTTTGTGAATGATAGATTAAGGGAAACAAGTTCTTCTTGGTGTAGAGCGTGGCTATAGAACTAGGGACGGAGTTCTTGGTTGTTGATTAGGGTTTTTGTTACTCGAATGAAGGATTACCAATTGTGTTCTAGAGGAAGAAGGTTCTACGGCCATTGCCAAGGAAGAGGCAACTGCATCGAAGGTGATAACTCAGGAGATTATCATGGGCTCATGGTTGTCAAATGAGAAACTTGATGGCTCCAACTACTTGTCATGCAGCAAGATTGTGTCGGTCACCTTGCGAGGTCTTGGAAAGGCTCGATTTTTGACAAGTGAGATGCCGGCAAAGGAAAGCTTGGAGTATGTAGCGTGGGAGTAGGAGGACAATTGAGTATTTGGTCAATTGTTCAAGTTGATGGAATGATGAGTCAAGGTGATGTTCAATCAATACCTCACAAGTAAGGAACTTTGGAATGTTTTAAAAATTGTTTATGCAAAATTTAAGAATTGGCAGAGGATCTCAGATGTTACCAGGGCATGGACTACAATGGAACAGTTCGATAAGAGCTTGAGGGAATATTTTGTTGCATTCAAGGAGGTATATGACGAGTTTAATGAACTTATGTCCTTGTTTACCGATTTGAAGACAAACCAAGAGCAACAAGAGGCTCTGACTGTAGTGTTTTTCTTAGCAGGGTTGTGGAAGGAGTATGCTAGTGCTAGTACTCAGATATTAGCAAGCAGAGATCCACTTTCTTTATTGGATGCTTATAAGTGCTTGAGTAGGGTCACCCAGCATAATCCTCTACAAGAAGATTGGGTAGTATTTGTGGCCCCACAGCGTGAAGTGCAAGCACCACGCGGAGGACGTGATGGACGAGGTAAGAGGAGATACACGGTCCTGCTATCATTGTGGACAGTAGGGACACTTACGGAATGTTTGTCTGTATCTTCAATGCAATTCTGGCCCACCAACGGCATATGTGACTGATGCTACGCTTAGCCCCAGTAGCAAGAGGAGAAAGGAGTTCAGTTATCCCAAGACGAGTATGACAAGCTTATTCAATGCTTCAGAATCAAATTTCGATCTCCTTTTCCACAGGAACTTTTATACAAGGTAAATCTATTGCATTCTTGGTTACCCCTTCTAGGACTTGGGTGATTGATTCAGGAGCTTTGAATTACATGATGGGTACTACAGGTACTCTTTATTCATATACTCTAATGACATGGAAACAATCTGTTTTGGTTGTTGATGGAAACCTCATAGATATTGTGGGAAGTGGCAAGGTTCGACCTATATCCACGTTAGACCCAACAATTTTAGACGCGACACAAAAATGACAAAAAGAAATCGTATGTGTTTTAAAAAAACGTGTTTCGTGGTTATTCATGTCAACGACACAATTGTCGTATAAGTGTTGATTTATCTAAATACGTGACACAACATGAATAACATGTTTAATTTAATCTTATCATACGAATACACGTTTAATATGTTTACCAAGTTTAACACATTGTTTATATTTATTTTGATTTAATATAAACATATAAAGATTATTTTAATTTTTAATTTTTTAATTATGATACTTAATTAGCTATTTAATTTCATATAAAAATTTATGATACTCATTTCATAATTATTATAAAATTATTTTTTGATATTAATAATATAAATACAATATAAATATTAATATTAGTTCTATACATTATTACTTTCATTCTTTAATTTTTAATAGTTTATCATTTTGAATTTGATAGTAAAAATTAATATAGTTATTTAATATAAATTAAAATTAAAAAATGTATATTAAATACATATTAAATGAGTATTAAAATTTTTTAATATGTAAGTACTTTTTATATTATTAATATGTCAAATTTATTAAGCTGTAAATGATAGATAGTTTATAATTATTTATTATTTTAGTTATGTTCTTGTATATAGTCGTGTTAATCGTGTTTATTCGTGTATATTCGTATTAGTCATGTCTATTCGTGTATATCTATCTTATTTGTGTTTATTCATGTTGTTTTTAAACGAATTAACTGTATATGTGTTAATCGTGTCATGTCGTGTGTGACACGTATATTAAATGTATCTTGTTCGTGTTTAGGATTTAAATACGTTTTATACTTCGTGTTGTGTTTGGGTTTTAATAATTTGTGTCATTACACTTGTCAAACATGACATGAGATATGACATGGAAACATAAATTGCCAGGTCTAATCCACGTTGCCTTTACATTTTGTGCTACATGTCCCTTCTTCTCTTTTTAATTTACTTTCAGTTAGTCAGATTACAAGGAATTTGAATTATGGCGTTTCCTTTTTTTCTACTTGTTTTTTTTAGGACCTATTAACGAAGTAGATTATTGGTAGGGGAAGGATCGAAGGTCTTTATGAACTTGATGACATATAGAAGATATAGTCTAGAATAATAACATACTTAGGAGAATTGTCATCAACTTATGAGTTTCATTATCGTTTGGGTCATCCAACCATGTCAACTTTATGAGCTATGTGTCTTTATTTATCATCTTTTAGTTTTGATTATGAATCATGCAAGTTTGCCAAACTATGCAAAATGTCCTATCAATCTCGATTTAAGAAAAGAGAAAAGTTTCCTTTTGCTATGATTCATTTTGATGTATGGGGTCTTTTCCTATTATTTCAAATTTTGGTTATAGATACTTTATGACATTTGTTGATGATTATTCATGAGTTTGTTGGTTGTATTTGTTGCAAAGCCCCTCTTAATTATTCTCTGTCTTTACTACGTTTCATGCAAAAATAGAGAATCAATTCAGTAAGTCTATCAAAATTTTACAAAATGGTAATGGAGGAGAGTATTTTTTACAGAGTTTGTTCAATTCCTTAATGCAAAAGTTATTGGTCATCAGTCCTCGTATACAGATACCCATAGCAACATGGGGTTGCTGAAAAGGAAGAATTGTCATTTGTTGGAAATGGCTAGAGCTTTTTTGTTTCAAATGAAGGTCCCTAAGGTGTTTCGAAATGAAGCTGTCCTCACAGCATGCTATCTTATAAATTGTTTGTCGTCCTCGGTTTTTGAAAGAAAAGTTCCTCTTCAAGTATTGTGTCTTGATCGTCCCTTATTTCCAATCTCCCTCAAGCCGTTTAGGTGCACATGTTTTGTTCATGACACTTATCTGGGTCGTACTAAATTAGACCCACGTTCCTTTAAGTGTATCTTCCTAGGTTATTCATATGTCCAGAAAGGGTGTCGAGGCTACTCTCCATACTTGGGTCGCTTTATTATTCGGTAGATTTCGCATTTCGTGAGTCAGTTCCTTTCCTTCGGTACTACAGTCTCATCCATCACCTATCATATTAGAAGAATATTTTTTCATCTATAAGATACATAGTACACTAGTCAATGCATCTTCTTTTGAGGTATGTCTAGATATTTGATTTGGTCGTACATACACCATAAGGACCTACATAAATCCCCCCATAGAATCTTTCCCTATTGAGACAGTTTCTCCACCGATGGATCCATCTCAAGAAACTGTGGTTGAAGATGTATCGATTGCTTTATGGAAAGATATGTGAACTTGCAAAAATTTTCCTTTATACATGCCCTTATACAAAGGACTTTTTGCTCAACTTCATACTTGTATTGCCACAATTGATGCTATTACTATGCCATTTACTTTTCATGACGTTTTTACAGATTTAGGATGGCATAAGGCTATGGAGGATAAGATGATGGCTCTAAAGGCCAACCATACATGGGACTTGGTTTCCCTGCCATAAGGGAAACAAGCTATTGGGTACAAATGGGTTTACACCACAAAATTGAATCTTGATGGTTCATTTGCTAGATTGAAGGCAAGGCTAGCAGCGAAGGGATATACGCAGACATATGGAGTAGATTATTTTGATTTCTTTTCACCAGTAGCAAAGATAACATCTATTCGCCTATTTCTCATTTTTGCTACTACAATAAATGGGTATTACATCAGTTGGATGTGAAGAATACTTTCCTACATGGTGACTTGACTGAAGAGGTATATATGGGGCAACCATCGGGGTTTGTTGCTAAGGGGGATTCTAGGAAAGTGTTTCGTTTGTGTAGGTTTATGTATGGTCTTAAGCAATCTCCATGTGTGTGGTTTGGCAAATTTAGTGTAGCTTTTATTCAATATGGCATGCGACAGAATGAGAAAGATCATTCAGTATTTTATATGTGATAGAGTTTTGGCCTTATATTGTTGGGAGTGTATGTAAATGATATCATCATCACTGGTAGTAATAGTGTAGGGATTGACAAATTTAAGATGTATCTTAACTCTCAGTTTGAGATCAAGGATTTTAGGCAATTGAAATATTTTTTGGGTATTGAAGTGGCTAGGTGTAAAAAGGAAATCTTTGTACCTCAAAGGAAGTATGTGCTGGATATTTTGAGAAATGCAAGCTTGTTCCATGCCAAGTGTCATCACATATAGATTCATGGACCTACTGCCAAATACGGATTAGAAGAGTTGCTATCAATCTTTTTTGTTTAGGTGTAATTGTCCACTTGATTGAATTTGATCCACGAAACCAAATTTAGGTTTGGGAGTGCGACTATGCGTGAGGAAGGTTATAGCACCCTTATAGCGCCCATCCAAAGGATGATACCAATTTGATTCCAAATTATCTAAGTCTTGAAAATATTTATGCTTTACCAAAATATTTAATATTGAGAATTACCTTTAAGATTACCCTAATAGTTTGATAGCGATTTAAGATTATTATCACCTCAGGAGTACTCATAGAGACTAGTGTCTTACTCTGATGATGCTCTATTGTCGGATTTGTTTTATTTAGGAAAATTAGTAAAGTCCTTCAATAATTTGATGGTATTTATTTTGAGACAGATCTTTAAATAATTTTGTAAGATTTTATTTGAAAATATTTATAAAAATTTATTTTTTGAAAAAAGTTCATTAAATCTCTTAATAGTTTGGTAAGATTTAATTTAAGAAGCAATCCTCCAATAGTTTGGAAGATAAAAATTAATTTTTTCATTATTTGAAAAATGATTTATGGAATTTTTCAATAGTTTGGTGGATTTCATTTAAAATTAAATTCATGAAAATTCTCCAATAATTTGGTAGAATTCATGAATTTATTTTGTAAAGATTTTAATTTTTAATTTTTAATTTTTAATTTTTAAGATTTTGTTATTATATTTTTTTTTGTTTTTTGGAAATAAAAATTTTATTTTTTGCAGAACATTTAATAAATAGTAAGTTATTCAACAAAATAAATAAGTAATAAAAAATAGTAAAATGATAAAAAAAACTAAAAATAAAATAAAAAATCAAGATATAAAATATAAAAAATCAAATCAAATCAAAAATTAAAATTAAAATAGAAAAAGAAAAACCTGCGATCGAGTCAAGTCAGATAACGGGTGGCGTGCAGATCCTAGTCGAGTTACACGCGGATCTGGGCTTGGTAAAACGTTGTTGTTTTGAAGCCTTATAAAAGTCAATCTTTCTGTTTTCCCTCAGATGCCCCTGTTCTCTCATTAGTCAAAAAATCCTTTGACCTCTCTTTAGAAAAAACCTAGAAATTCAATCGAAAATTGGAATTCTTTGCCAGTTTTTGGAAAAGTCGTCGAAATCCCATCAGAAAATTTAAACCTTGTCGAAAATTTAATCAGAAAATTCAAAGTTCATTCCCAAAACCTAGTTTTTTCAAGAAAAATCTCAGAAACCTTAAAATTTTTCCAAATTACTTCAAAATCTAGAAACGTAAACCTAATCCCAAGAACCCAAATCTAAACCCTGAAACTTCAGATTGAACCCAGAATTCCCAAAATCCTAGAAATTCCCCACTGTCCAGAAAGTTTTCCAGAAAACACCAAGTTCATCCTCTCTCCAAAAATCAACCCGTTATTGTTCTCTGGAATTTTAGTTCAATTTATAGGTATCCTTACGAAAGTTTTAAGGAAACGGACAAAACCAATCCAGGCTTGAATCCTAAGATTGGATTCTGCTCAAACCTCAATTTAGGTTTAGGTTTAGGTTCTTTGCTGATTTTTTTAAATCGAATTGAGAATCTTGTGATTTGGTTTTGCATTGAAAATCTTTGACTATAAGATTCTAATATGGCCGATTCAAAATTTCGGTTTCCCACAATTCTCGTCACCAATTGAACAAGCAGGGAAAAAAGAAAAAAATAAATAATAATAATAATAATAATAATAGTAGTAGTAGTAGTAGTAGTAGTAATATAATATACTATAATAATGTAATATAATATAATATAATATAATAGTAATGTAATAATAATATAATATAAACATATAATAATAATAAAAATAACATAGTAATGTAATACAAAAATAATGGCTGTAATAAAAAAAATTGATATGCCCTAGACATAGATGGGTGTCTACACCAAGCCAAGTGACACACCGATGGATCCAGGTATCAAGCTTTCTCCAGAATATGGCACTTTACTTTATGATCCCACACCTTACAAGAACTAGTGGGAAAACTGAATTACCTAACCATGATGAGACCTGATATATCTTTCCAGTGAATGTGGTTAGTCAATTCATGGTAGTTGCGCATCTTCCTATATTTGTTGAGAAATCTTGGAAAGGGGATATTCTACAGTTCTACTAGTGATAAGGATATTCGAGCCTATGCAGATGTATATTGGGTAGGCTCGCCAATAAATAGGAAGTCTACATCTAGTTATGTTATCTTCCTTGGGAGTAATCTGGTGTCCTAGAAGAGCAAGAAGCAGCAAGTAGTTGCTAGATCTAGCGCAGAAGCAGAGTATAGAGCCATGGCTTTGGCTACAATAGAGGTATTATGGATGGTTCAATTCTTAGAAGAAATTAGGCTTTCAATTTGGACCCCTACAAAGTTATGGTGTGATAATCAGGCGGCGATTCATATTGCTTCCCATCCAGTTTTTCATGAAAGAACCAAGCACATAGAAGTTGATTGTCATTTCATTAGGGAAAAGTTGTAGAGTGGAACAATATTATTGAAGTATGTGCACACAGGGGAACAACTAGCCGATATTCTTATGAAATCACTTCCAAGAGTTCAAATTGACTATATATGTAACAAGTTGAGCATGACTGATATATATGCTCTAGCTTGAAGGGGAGTGTTAGTGTATGTGTGTGTGTAAGTTAGAATATTATGGGAATACTCCATGAGAGACTGTTTAGGATCGATTAACTGGGAGTATTAATGTGTAATTTGTAATTGATTCTCTTTCCTTAGTATTGTCTATATAATGAAAGGCTAATCCAAGGGATTTGCAAGTTGTTCTCTAAAGCTTTAATTCTAACAAGCTTAACCTATCAATAGATTATATCTCCTGCCTACACTTGCATTTGGCTTAGCACAGTTCTACAGGTCAATCCAGTACGGTTCACATTCTATCTGAACAGGATTTTGCAAGCCTGCTTTTTGGTGCAATGGATTTAAGAATAGGAGCTAGCTTAGTTAATTGAATCCTTTGTATATTCATCCTGTTTAATTGGATCTACAGAGTTATAGAATGTGGTACTTGCTTGAATATGACTTCATTGTTTCCTTTGCACACTGCTTAATAGATGAACTCTTGTCTTGCAGGATCATATGGCGAGGTATACCGGGCAGATTGGAATGGCACTGTGAGTTACATTTGCTACTTCATTTTATTTCATGGAATTTTTGGGGGTATTATACTACTAAATGATATGATGACCCACAATAACAGTATACATGCCAAAATTTCCAAAAGTTATTAGTCTTTCACTGAGCAGTGACATTTGACATCATTTATGCCAAGTTCCCTTGTAGGAAAAGAGATTAGGTCTCTAATTGAGTAATTGTGCTAATATGTGGAGCAAACTTACAAAAATCTAAAAAATCTATGACTGCTATAGTAAATCTACTAAGAGCATGAACGTTAGTTTCTATTAAAGAATTCTTACATTAGATAGCTTGTTCCATAGTCTCTTTACTAACTTCTAATGGCATTCTAATTTGAGTGCGTCTAATTCTCTTTGTTGGCTCTTCAGGAGGTTGCCGTGAAGAAGTTTTTAGATCAAGACTTCTCTGGTGATGCATTGGTTCAATTTAAATTTGAAGTAAGCCCCAGAAAATAACTTCTTATGGCATGACTCTTGTTTGTTTCATCTCATGTTTGTGAGCTCAACTTTCCTGTATGAATGAATTTAAATTGAGATCATCTCTGTTTGATGACCTTGTGCAGGTTGAAATCATGTTAAGGTTGAGGCATCCAAATGTTGTTCTTTTTATGGGAGCTGTTACTCGCTCCCCTCATTTCTCTATACTGACAGAGTTTCTCCCCAGGTTATTTTTCTTTATCTAAGTAGTTCTTTCTTTAGTCTTTCAATTTTTTCATAATTAGTAAGTTTACATTTGTTTGCACGTTCTTTTTGATTTGTTATGGAGTTTTCAGTGGCATTTTAAAGTCCATGGTGGTTTTTCTCTGGTTTTAAAGGATGAATCCAGACAATAATGTTAGCACTTGAACTCTGTCCTCATGAGAACGTTGTATGCATATTTTGTCCGGATGTATTGTTTGTAGATAATAGGTATAGGACTCCACTTCTTTGTGCCCTTTTTGATGCATTTACCACAATGTAAGTTACTAAGTGCCTGCATTTTGTGCTTTGCTGTGTATCAAAACAATGAATCCTTCTCTAGATGTGTGTTCTTTTTTATTCCGATAAATACTAGACCTTTCTATTGTTATTGTTGTTTCTGACAAGAAATTGATTAATTTAAAAGCTCAAGATTGGTCATCCCGTCTTGCATTCTTCTTGCTCCTCCTCATTGTTATGCAGGGGAAGTTTGTATAAGCTACTGCATCGACCCAATCATCAACTCGATGAAAAGAGGCGAATGCGGATGGCTCTTGATGTGGTAGGACTCACAAGTGAATACATTATTTCATCTTCTTAGCTTCATATCTTGCACTAAAATCTCCCATCTCCCTGTTTCCTTTCTTCTCTTCCCTGCCTGGTTGTTTTTTCTATTTAAGTGATGCTTTCTTATTGTTTGCAGGCTAAAGGAATGAATTATTTACACACAAGCCATCCTACTATAGTGCATCGAGATTTGAAAACACCAAATCTCCTTGTTGATAAGAACTGGATTGTAAAGGTGCTTATCTAAAAACTAATTTCTGGCCAAAAGTTTTCCTTGATTTTGCTCATAGTTTATTTAAGCAACTTTACAGATTGCTTTATTTTCTACCGAAGGATGTCTATTGAACTTTTTCAAACATGTTTGCTTCTCTATTCAGGTCTGTGATTTTGGGTTGTCACGCATGAAGCATCATACTTTCCTGTCTTCAAAGTCTACTGCTGGAACGGTAGTATTACTAAAAGATAACCCTCGTTGTTCACTTTGTGTTCTGTCTTACTTTCATATTTATCCAAATCTGTCATCTTTTTGTAAAATAAAAGTTTGCTGTTGGACTGCAGCCTGAGTGGATGGCACCAGAGGTTTTAAGGAATGAACCGGCCAATGAGAAGTAAGTGACTTTAACAGCAGGATAGCATGTGTTACTATTTGACATTTATATTCTGTTTCTTACACAAATAGACTGGCTTGGTTGCAGATGTGATGTGTACAGTTTTGGTGTGATATTATGGGAGTTGGTTACGTTATGTATTCCCTGGAAAGGTTTGAATCCAATGCAAGTTGTTGGAGCTGTTGGGTTCCAGAATAGGCATCTAGACATTCCTGAAGACGTTGATCCAATGGTTGCACAGATTATACGTGAATGTTGGCAAACGTGAGTTCTAGATGTTATTTATGTCACATTTATCTACATGAGGAGAATGATTATATAATCCTTCGGGGATCTCTTTGGAATGTTTAATTGGTCTCTCATTTCTTGGGCACTCCTATAAGCATCTGAAAAGAAATCCTGATAATCTTTTCCTTGTGAATTAAGTAAAAGAATTTGTGATAAGAATCAAGTCAAAATGCTGTAATATTAGTTGAAAATGGGAGGAAATGTGGGATTATTAAAAGTTTCCAATAAACCTTTGTGGTTAGACATTGGTCGTGACTGTTGTGTATCATACAAGTAATCGGTCTATTTTCTTTTGCAGGGAGCCACACTTACGACCGTCATTTGCACAGCTAGTGTCTCGTCTGCGACGTCTTCAACGTCAGTATATTGAAAGGCCAAATTCAACAAATCAAATAATAGGATGAACAGTGCAGTGTTGATGTAATAAGTACTTGATTAGCTGTTTCCTGGGTCAAAAAGTCAGGCAACCGGAAGGTTTTTCTTTAATGTGCAGAGAAAGTTGAAAAGAGTTAGGAGTGGCAAAAGTGTTGGCTCATTCGAAGTGGGGGATCAGCACTACCCATCCTGAACACTGGATTCCTCATAAGTAAGCAGCCGCATAAGAGCAGTGGAGGATACCACTAAAAATTTGTGGTTAGTATTATGAATAGGTAGCATCGTCAAAGTGTAAGAAAATTCCCAAAGGAAAAACAAAAAGGCATAAAGTAGAAAGAAAGAAAGAAAAGAAAATAAACAGTCTTCGAAGTCTTTGTCTTGGGTAAGAAGTCCTAGTTCCTGGAATTGTAAACATGTGATCTCTATAGCTCATTGTGGAAACCAACCCAAAAAAAAAAAAAAAAAAAAAAAAAAGGAATTATTTGCAAATACTGTGCTTTGCTCCTTTATTTTCGATGTTCCTCTATAACCATATGGATTCGTATTGCACGGAAAATTTTTAACCTGGAATCAGGATTTTAACCCGAAATATAGAAGAAAAGAAGAGTTGTTTTTCTTTAAACAGACTATTTTTTTTACTTCATAGTCTAATCATTAAATTATTGAATTTTTCATTTTATTTCTTTTCCTATTCTCCATCAAGCTTTAATTTTGTGTGCTTCGTAGTTTTTACTCTCTTTATTTTTTTTATTATTTTACTAAGTTATGAGTATTAAAAATTCAATAATGTTAAATCTAAAAAATCAATTAAACAGATTAATTAATTAATAAAAGAAAGAATCATTATATAATTGAATAAACTTTTAAAATTCGAACTTTTGATTTGATGGGTTACGGGTGCTTCTTTTGCGCTCTTTATTGGTTTACCTCGTAGCCAGGTTCGGTTTAGTGGGGCCCAAATGCGAGCTGGTGAAGCTGGTTCTTGCAGCAGTTTCGAGCTTGTGGTTACAATTTCTGATTTTCGTGTTTTGAGGATGTATTTGGGACGGGCTTATGTTGCTCAGTGCCACGGTTGAATGTAAACTCTGTTTTTTTTAAGTTTTGTTTCATGTAAAATGTGTTCCTTTTTCATTTCTTTGGTAAACAAATTTCCTCCTTTGATTGATTTCTCATCAGATTTCTCTTTTCCGTGTCTTGCAGATGGAGAAACAGGGTGGTAATGGTATGATGGACAGGTATTGTTCATGTCTACTTTTATTCCTAAGTTTTGTTTTAGTTCAATCTGTTACCATTTCATTTTATGTTAATCTTCTCTTTTCTTAATATGCAATGTTTTCACTTCCACAAAGTAATAGCTACTTTCATGTAATGTTCTTGTTTCCTGTTTGATGGTTTCTTGAATCCTTTTTATATATGATCTTCCCCCTCCCTTCACGTTCAAATCCAAGTAACTTTCTTAGCTTCTGTATATTGGCGAAGCAGTTAAGGGTGGTTTTTACTTTGTGAAATGATGCCAACTTTAAGCAATTGACCCGTTACAGTATATTGCCATAGGATAAATTTCTGTATTTGACAGTCTAGGATCAAAATTGATTCTTCTAAAATATATACTTTTACCAACAGATGTTTGGCTCAAGTGGCAAAGAGGGTATGCTCCTCTCTTTGTTGCCTGTGTTCAAATCTTTTGGGCGGTTCTGGATGGGTAATTTCTTGTGAATTCATTGGCCCGGCATAGATAAAACTGCTTAGACTACCTGAAGAGAAGATGTATTAGGCAAAGCCCGGGAACCCCTTCCCACTTAAAAAAAATGTATACCCTTTACCATAGGAGGCCATTGGCAAAGGCTGTGTCACAAGCAACTGCTTTTTTTCGTGCCTAATAAGCGTTAACTTAGGAATTGACTCATCCACTTAGATCCATAAACAGTGATAACTCTGTGTCCCTATGAATTTGAGCAGTTTTGTCTATGAATGTGTCCTTATTATTGACTATGTTAAGTCAAAAGTTTGTGTATCAGATGGAAATGGAAATAGCTTCTTGTAATTTGGGATTTTGTGAAGCATGGTTTCTTAGTCATCACAAATGATGAAGGGATTGCTATGGGACCAATTTTGAAGAAGTTTGTTTGTTTTGTTATTTCAAACACTACTTGAAGGTTTAATATAAGCTCCTTGCCAATTCATATATGTCTCAGACCTTCAGTTATTTTCAAAAAAATTTTAGTTATATAAATATCATTTGTGGTAGATAGTACAGAGTAATACAGTTTTCTCAACAGATATGGATGAAGACTACTGAAGTTTTGGCACGTGACAGGCTTCTTGGTTCATTTTCAGTAGGTGTTCTTAATTTCTTATATTGGAATTTTATTCAAACCAGAGTTCCTCTTTCCCTCCTTTTTATTGGCCTTTGCTGCTGCAGGCCTGTTTTGACCAAGCATTAATCACACAACTATTTTTCTTAGAAGTTTTCCTATGAATTCTACTGTTGGAAGGACATTTTTATTAACTTCCAAGGCTGATAAAAACAAAAAACCTAATCCTTTTTTCTTTAAAAGAAGACAAAAATTAATAAGGGTCAAAATTTATGGCTTATTCCGCTGAAACCATGGTGATCAGCACTTTGCAAATATCTAATGACATGTAGTTTTCTGGGACTAGAAGTTTGAGGGAATTTATTCTTGGAAAATTTTTCTTAAATTTGAGAGATAATCCAATGATCTTTGCAGGTCAAGCCTGTGCTGAGCAGATTAAAAAAAAGATACTCTTCTACCTAGCGGTATCCTTGCTTGTATGCATTCTTCCCCTCACAAAAGTTGATCAGGGAGGCCAAGAGGGTTCCTACATGACATCTAAAGAAGCAGGGGTTAGAGCTATACCAGGGGTTTACTACGATGGTTCTGCAAGATCATTTGAGCCGGATGCATTCTGTGGTGAACCTGGCCTTCCCTAGTTCAATCCTTGGGAAGCTGGTAATACTCTGTACAGTTCACTAATTTATCTATATATATATATATATATATATATATATTCAAGAGCATATCCTGTCTCCTTTCAGTCCTTTGTATATGGTTTTAATTTATCCGTTGCTGCACTTTAGCTGTAATTACAGGCTTGTGTTTCTTCTCTGTTTTTCAAAAAATATTGTTAATTAGTAATAGGAAATTTTGAAATAATTAAGTTAGAAGAGGAAGACTAAAATCTATATATTACTAGTGGAGTATTGTCTTGGTCAATAGTTCATTCCATTTAAATACAACTTTGAGATTTTTTTTTTTCTTTCATTCATGTATTCCACCCATATGAAGGTTAGAAGGATGGAAGATTTCTGTTCTAAAGTTTAAGATGTTTAACTATGCCCGTGAACATACCGAGCCAACAACTTGTTCTTTCACTGCCACATTGATCTCTCGTTTGAGAGGTTTTTCTGTTTCTCATTTCTGTTCCAAACTTGAAACTTCTACTGCAGCAACCCAACCTTGCCTGATAGATAATTTAGTGTAATTTAGAAAGAATAAGGTGATTTGGTTGTCTTTGCTCCTTTTATCAGGGTTTTAGTCAGCAAAATGAAAACAGGAATCCACCACAAAGAGAATGCAGCTCATATACTCGATAGAAGTATAAAATCAATGAAATCTTAGATATATGTGCTCCCATTCTGTTAATATATAATATATATGAGGTCAAACTTGGTGCCTCTCTCATATTGCTTTAATTCAAGATTTTTCTCAGTTGTACTCCTTTCTGAATTGAATAATTAAACAACAAGATACATCCATTGATTAATTCTATTACCTGTCTCTGGCCTGGCAATTTCTTGTATCCTCATCCAAGGTTCTTATCTTAAAGGGATGTTTCCATATTATATAAATCTTGGAGAGATGTTGAATTGGTTGCTGATAGAATATTGATGAACATAAGATTGCCAAGTAATTATCCAAAATCTTCATCAGAAATATACGAGTGGCATGTCTCCTCTATCCCTTCCAGGACTGTCATATTTTGATAACAATAGCTAGAATTTAGCGACAACTCAAGCTTTATACAAGACATGGATCGTCTAAAATTGTATTAACCAATTTCATGCTTACCTAGTAAACAAAAAATTCATAACAGTGTTTTTCAGACAAAGCAATCCCCCTCCCCCCTAGCGGCTTCTCCATCCAAGTAAACCATATTTCTGGCATGATCAAACAGGGATATGTATTTCAAATGGGAAAAATGTTGATGTTGTAAATTGTTGTCAATAAGTTCATGGAAGATAAGTGTACGTGTAATGCCGAATGCTACAAAATAGTAGGCTGGATATTTCAATTTTATATCGCATAGGAGAAAAAAGATTATTGGATATATAAACGTTGGTGTTATACATTTTAATAAGTCGATTTTATAGTGAAAAGATAATAATTAAATGATACGTGATATCACGTCAACTCTTAATTTATTTGACTGTACATCAAATATTCTAGTGAAGTAAGCATGATAAGTTAATTTAATTACTTAACAAGATATTAAAATAAGGTATGATAACAGAATTTGATCATATCAAATACTTTAAAAATAAATAATAAAATAATCATCTTGTCACAAAATTAGATAAAAGAATATCACGTCAAGCACTTAAAAAAAATTCATAAAATATTTTAATTTCACATCAAATAAAAAAATAACAAATTGAAAAAAAAATCATTACACATATAAACATTAGCATAGTACACACTAATAAACCAATTTTATAGAAAAAGGTAATCGCATGACACATTGCACTTACCATCATTTATCCATTGCACTAAAGGTTAGAACTCTTTGTGAATTTCGTGCCAAAATTTATGCTGTTGTTTCTTTACACTGAATTTCACTATTAAATCCACCACCCTCCATCAAAATGTGGCCAACAATTATCAAATGAGCTGCTATATATAATAAAGTGGTCTAGTGCTTATTTGTATCATAAAGAAGAAATTATCTATGGATAACCTCATTCGAAAGCATAGTACATAATTCACTGTTCATGTATTGTCATTTTCATTTTGTGGTTGGCAAGTTTGTTGCTGTCATTTCCTTGGTGTGGGCGGTGTGGATTGTCTTCCGAGTGCGCCAAAGTGAAAAAAAAAAAATGATTCTTTTTTTCATTTATATAGGTAAGAAGCCTAAGCCCCGGCGCCAGATTTGGTCTCGTGAGTGGCCGCTTCGACTCTAGCGATCGAAGTCGGCGTTGGGGGCTGAATTCGGCCTTTACCTATGGCCGATTGGCCTGGTCAGCGAGAGCAGTAGGGAAAAAGATAAAAAGACAAAACGAGAAGAACACAAAAAAGGAAAAAAATAAAAAATATTTTTCTATAAAATAAATGAAAATTAATTTAAATGATAATATAAAGTATTTATAAACCATTTTATTTTTCAAATAAAAATAAAATTTTAAATAACATTTTTGTACATGTAAGCTGTCACATGTTTGTCATATGTCAGATATGTAACTTTGATTTACGTTTAAAGTAAGGTTTAATGATAAAATTAAAGAAAGTATCATTTTATTATAATATTTGAAGTATAAGAACCAATAAATTATTTTTTTAAAAATAAATGAATCTCAAAATTTAAGACTATAGCACGTTCACCAATTTACTATAAAAAGAGAAAATTATGAAGAGAGTTTGTTGCATTTTTCTAAATTCAATGGAACATAACAATATTCCACATAAAATAAAAAAAAATGGAAAAGATCATGTTATTGTTAAAAAATAATTTATATTTTTTATAGTATTAGTATATAAATTTTATATGTTATAAATGAATTAAATAATATTTTTTATTAATGAATAAATATTAATTTATAAAATAAATATATAAAAATTTAAAAATTTTAAAAAAATTTAAAATAACATAATGTTATTCGTTTCATTTATAAAATAATATCAAATATATAAATTTCATATAATAATAATATATCAAATATAAATTAAAAAAAATTATTATATCCAACAAATTCTCCTCTCGTATCCAAAAATTTCTGTCACCCAAAATAAATACTACGGAAGGAAAACCATGTTTCATTGGGCCCAGATTTCCAACGGAGAAAAAAGAAATGAAACAGAACGCATGTTTTTAACAATATTCAAATTTCAACATCAGTTAGTCGTATCGTTGTAAAATCCACCGCAATTTAAAAACTTATATCTTAGTTGTCCTTTTTTTTTCAATTTAAAGATAAATAAATTATTTAATTCTTTAAATCATAATAAAATATATTATATTTAATAATTTAAAATAAATAATTATAAATCATACATTTAAAATAATTATAACAAATAATAGTTAACATGTCAAAATCTATTCATAAAAAAAAAAAAACTTTAATTGATTGAACATAAAATATATTGTTATGCTAGCTGTAAAATTTGCCCCTTTTTTGCGCTTTTAATATTTTTATGGTGTCATATAAATTAGACAACTAAAGCTAAATGAATATCTTTTTAAAGAAAGTAGGCATTGTTTCTGGCTTGAACATGAGGAAAAACTTCTATTTTTGTTTAGAAGATAACTTGGAGATACAAATTTTGCATTCCCTTGTGTCCCTGACTTGGAAAGTTTTATGTTTTTTTGTCAGTGGATGTGGTCTTTCATGGTGGTTTTTAGTCAATGGCTAATGAAGGAGATTTTATCCGTTTGGTGCTTTTTCCACTCATAATGTGTTTATTTCCCCAGCGACACCACTTGAGCTGACGTTAACTTTTGGCTACGGGGGGAATTCAATGTTATAATGAGTCTTTATTTAATTATTTTTATTTTTGGGTAAAAAGTTTAGAATGATGTTGCCAGAGACAGGAGAGAACATCTGGTTTAATTTGAAGTAGATACATAAAAGGCCAAAAAGTTTCTTGGTGGAAGCTACAAGGATTACAACTAGAGAGTATGTCAATGAGGTTTGGCGCCATTCCTATTTCTTGGGAGTGAGTGTGGGTGTTGAAATAGACAAGAATGTAGAATTTGATTAGGTGAATTGAAAAGTTAGGAATCACGAATGTGCCAGTATATCATCGTAATGAATCTTCATTTATTCTATAGATTATTTTAGATCCTGATGGACTTTAATTTTACACAAAGGTTAGATGCGCTTGCTAAGATGTGTGCTGATTTAGGAAATCAAGTAGTTACTGGCATAATTCATTCACTTTGGGTTTGGGCTGTTCATCAACAAAATGAAATATGAGGACTGTCAAATGGACTGTTGTACCTCAAGCATCGAATTTCAAATTATGGATGGTAAATGGCTTGGATTTTCACCCATTTATGAATGGCAGTGCAAGTGCAACCTACAAAAAAAATGGAATCCTTGTATGATAGTGAAGATTTAAGTTATTGAATTGTAAAAAAAAAATTGGTTGAACTGAAAGGTGTTTTATGCATTTATTTATGCTGATAATTATTCACTATATTGGCATTTGGCAGTTTTGCAATCTTAGCTCAATCTTCTGCCTCTTCTTGTATGGCATTTAGCAGTTGATATCATTCACTTCTTTTGATTCTTTTTTCTAAAGTAAAACTATTGTGTATTCATTGTAGAATGAGACTATCGTCTTTGTGACTGGATAGTTGCTTATCAAATTGAGAAGAAGTCCATTATGTCTGAAGGTGTTTTCTGAAATGGTGATGGTTCACCACCTAGAATTGCACAGAGCCATATTTTGCATGGAAGACTTCCTATAATGGATTTAAAAACAGCTTATGATGTTGAACACATGAGTTCTACATCTAGAATCCAGCATGACCTATGGCTTCTAGATGTAATTGATCCAAAGAAGGCGAAGTTTCCATGCTGTTTAGTTTGGACTCCACTTCCAGTTGTCTCATGGCTGGCACCTTTCATTGGATATGTTGGGATTTGCAGGGAGGATGGAGCAATTTTGGACTTTTCAGGGTCAAATTTTGTGAATGTTGAGGATTTTGCCTTCGGTGCTGCAGCTTGATATCTTCAACTTGATAGAGAAAAGGTGTAGTTCTGTGCTGATGGTCTGTATCAAACCTTTTATATCTCTCCATGCACACTTTGCCATCATGATGCTACCTCTTTCTCCTAGACAAGTATAACTATATATTGTGAAGCAATAATGCATTTCTCTTTCCTTTCCTAAGCTTTTATGTGAGCTAATTTTTATTTTATTAAAAAGAAATTGAACATCTTAAAAATCCTTCACTATTTTTTTTTTTATTGTGGAACTAGTGTTGCTTTCCTCCAAAGCTAGCTGGGCATACATGCAAGCATGGTTATCAGCATGCAGAGTACGGCACTGCGGTCTCATGGGATGATGCCTTGCAGTCGAGTGTGCGTCACTTGGAGCATAAAAGCTACAATCTCTTCACATGCAACTCTGACTCATTTGTTACCAATTGTCTCAACCGACTATGCTATGGTGGATCAATGGATTGGAACATGATTACTGTGGCAACTCTAATACTATTTAAGGGGCATTGGGTTAATAGCATGTCAATAATAAGATCATTCCTCCCTTTAACAGTGGTGCTCTGTTTGGGCTTACCACTGGTTGGCTGGCCATTTTTGGCTGGACTCTTTTCACTCTGTCTCCTTCTTATGGTGTGGTTTCTGTTGGGCAATTATTGTGTCAAAACCTTACTGGAATGTTAGAGCTTTTTCAATTAAAGTTGAAAGAAGCATTGTTGGTATAATTTGGTGTTACATCCAAATACTGCCTAATGCCAAAAGATGTAAACGTTTTCCCCCCATGAGAAATTTGATTGGAGATTTGCTTCATAAAAGGAAATTGAACACTTGATTTTTGTTGGGCTAAAAGTTTTCAATCCAATCATATCAACGGAAACGAAATCAAATAATAAATCAAAAACACAAGAGACAATAATTTAACGTGGTTCGATTTAACTAATTTACATCTACGGATGAAAAATAAGATCCATTAACTATAGAGAATTATAAACATGCATCAAATCATTAATATCACTCAATAATTAATACTCATAAGACACTCTTAATCTTCTTTAATCCTATGAAGTATTCTTAACCCAAACAAACACAAACCCAAACCCTTGTGCACCCTTTCAATATAATCAAACATATACCCATATGCTTCCATACATCATACCTATGTGGATCTTCTCAATCTCTTCTAATTCATTCACAAACAAACATATATACTCATAAGACGTAGAGCCCCAATATTCCTATAGGGTGTCTATCCTACAAAACTCTACAACTCTCTTATATTTTTTTCTCATACCTAACTCCGTAAAGACTTCACTTATTTATAACCATACAAACTTGTCCATTAAAAATCTCTTTCCTCTTAAAATCCCTTTCCTGTAAATCAAATTTGGTATTAAGAATCCATTTTCTTTTAAAATTCTTCTCTTGCAAGTCAAACTTACCTATTAAAAATTCTTTTTCTTTTAGAATTCTTCTTTTGCTAGTTTTATTGTCCATCAAACAATATTTAACAAATCTCAAACAAATCTCATATCAAATTTAAGTCACTATTCCCAATAATTTTAACGCTAGCATTTCCTTCTCTGCGGATAAGTTCATCAAATACTAGACGTTACCTGATGCCATGGGTATTTTGTCCGCCTATTTCACATTAGCAATAAGCAGATGATTGTAGTAACAGTTTTAGAATAAAATTTGAGAGGATCTTTTGAGGCTCATTCTGCAGAGTTTTCCAGTTGATGGGAACTTTGAATTGAGGTCCAGAAGTTATTGAGATTTCATTCTCATGTGAATGCCAATGGAACAAGAGTGATGCTTCATTCCTGCCTCGTGACTAGTAGAGCATGACTCGTCTCCAAGTCATACTTGAGACATCTACTTCTCATTAACAAGGAGAAATTACTTGCACAAGTTAACCAAAATTGAGAGAACAAGCTTAGACAAGCTCATTACAAAATGAAACCAATTTGAAATCTGTCTACTGTACAACATAATAGCTAAATGTAGTCATAAAAAAAAATTTTATGCCACGCTAATAGCTAGAGAGCTTAATCAAAATAATTTGGTAACTGATCATTTTCTGGTGCTGCTTTCACAGAAGGGAGACGTGCTATTTACTTGATCCCCGGCAACGAGACATGAATAGAAGCTCTCTGAAAGCAGGATCTACTGAGCAAATAGTCTTGTCCCTTTACATCATATCCAAGCTTTATAGCGTTTTGGTCTAAAATCACCTCTTGTTACAAGTCTTCAACTTCAGTGTCATGAACAAAACTGGGAAATAAGGTTGTGATGTCCCTGACGAAGAGAACATATAAAACAACGAGACATGGTGGTAAGTTACCATGGATATACAAGGGGTCAAGCAAACAATTAGATTGGGAACGCAGTACCGGAAAAGTGGAAGAGGGATTCAGATTATGAATGCAATACTGGAAAAGAAACCAGTAAAGGAAATAGGAGCTAGTCACGCACTTTAAATGAGGAAGAGTCATGTTCTTTAAGACGCTAGGATTACGAAGCACAAATGCTTTCCATTCTTCTTTGTTGATTCTACCATCCTTGTCAGCATCGGCATCAGCAAATGTCTGCAGAAAAAGATGAAAATCCTGTAAGCATCAAAGGCTCTAGAAAACTATACAAATAAAATCAAAGAATTAAACTTCAGAGAGCTCACTTGGTCAATGATAGCCTCAAGAAGGTCATCTGACAAAATCATGTCAGATTCCATCAAAATGGCAACTACCATTTGCTTAACCTGCACCCAACCAAAAGCTAATTAGTTAGAACCCCACAATTGCACAACGTGCATACAGTATGAGTCATTTACGGAACATTAAATTCAGGTAGACCTGCTAGCTTGAAAACAAAGTTTTACTCACTTCTTCCCGCTCAATAAACCCGGTTTGTCTCAGATCATACAACCTAAATGCAACTGCAAGATATTAACATCCACAAAAACATAATAAGAAAGAGCTATAAATCATACTTTATTGGTCCAAAGCAAATGATTTCTTTTGAACCCTTACAATCAATTTTAGCTTCTATAGGGGCATAGGGATGAAACACATTGAGTGCACGGACAAATTCCTCAAATTCAATGACACCATTTTTCTTCTCATCAAAAAGATCAAAAACCTACAAATTGAAAAGATTATTAGATATAGGAAATAAAATAAAGATTCACGGAGAACTTGTTTACGACATTCAAAGAAAAGAAAAGTTTCAAATCAAAAAGAAGAAAAAAGCTTCTATTTCTGTTTCTAAAAATTGGAAGCCAGAAAAGTAATGGCTAAAGAACAACTTCCCAGTTATTGTCATCCAAGACAGCTAATAGTCATTTTCATTCACAAATAAAAAGAACTGCTAAATTAGTTACTACTATGTTAAAGACATACCAATAACTTATATCTTAACTGGTACACGTGTTCAACTACTGTTGCTTTTAGTTCAGTTTAAGAATTTGAAGTGAAATCAAGAAACTGATCAATGATGAATTACAGTACACATCAAAAACCATAAAATGAACTCAATTTAGTAAATTACAACTACAACAATTCCCCAAATGCTAGCTGAACAATTGATATTCCCTTTATACTATACTTTGATTGTGGTCAATGATCAACTATGGGAGGATAGAAGAAAGTACATAACAGAAGAAACTGATATTGTTACAAAACATTTACCCTGTCAAGCAAAAGATTCTCACCGAACGGAGTCTGGAACAATGCTAACCGAAGCTCTTCCTACAATACTCGAAGAATTTAGATAATCATTAAGAATTTGACATTTACAAAAATCATTTAATGACCTTGTAAAAAAAATTCTGACACATCAGCTTGAAGCAATGCATTCATATAAAACAGGCCGCGAAAAGAAAATCCATAGCAAAGTTTATGACACCAATTTGCCTCAGAATTTTAATTTACCTTGTGAATCAATCCATCATCAATAATTGAGCTACTCAACTTCTTGAACAATTCGTACAATGCCTCCACTTCATTCACCGTAACTGCATCATAAGTTCATAACCAATAACAAGCAAATCAAACTTACACCTAGGTGGCAATACAGCTATGTTTGTTTTCTCAAAAGATGCAGGACAAAAATTAAAAAAAAAAAAAAAAAAAACTATAATTTTCATGTTTCACAGTAACTTCTTGGAAATGTCTTTTTCTTTTCCTAGCAATTTCAAAAACCAAATTAAAACTTAACAGTAGATATATTATATGATCCAAAACCCGTAAAATTGTCCCTTTTCCTTTCTTTCATCAACAAACACATCATAAATAAATCTCAATAATTAATAATTATAATTTTAGAGAAAAAAAAAACATATGAATGAAAGGCAGTACATCGGGTCTCATTGGAGAGACGGGTAAGATCTGTGAACCCATAGCGAATTTTCTTGTGGCGGGGCCGGCATTCGAAACAATTAGCCATCGCATAAATCAAGAAATCGATCACTGCAACAAACGGTATGAAAGCTGAACAGATCCGCTCTCCCATAGTCAGAGAGCTCGACAGCTGTTCATCGCAATCAAATGCAAAAAAAAAGCACTACATAAACACTTCTCAAAACCCATTAAACCAAAAAAAAAAAAAAGAGAACACACTTTCATAATCATAACAAAGACAAAAAACTGCAACTTTAGAAGTTATTTCAATGATTACACAAAGACGAAAGATGGGTAGCAAGGAGATACAAAGGAATTGTTTCTGTTGGTTGAATTCATGGCTTCAAACAACCACAAATCAGAAACAGAGAGATATTTTTACTGATTCTTTTCCTTTTAACAGCTAAATCTTGTTGTATATGAACCCAAGTAGTAGTAATGTTTCAGGGTTAATCTGTTGTTCAGAAAGCGGATTGAAAACTCTCCCGACAACTATACGGGATTTGGTAGGCTTCAGAGGATACATTTGATTGAGATGCCTGAGAGCGCTACGAGGAATAAGAAATGGGAAGAAGAAGTTTTAATAACCACGAAACAGGCGAAATAATTGTTTGCGTGGTTGGTTTTCTTAATAACGTTGAAGTTTTTAAATTTTAATTTGAATTTGAAATTAATTTTCATATTTGATTTGAGTTTTATAGCTTTAATTTGGTTTAGTTTTTTGTTTTTGTATATTATATTAATATAATTTTTAATATATTTAAATAAATTAAATATAATATAATAATTTTATTTAAAATATATAAAAATTAATAAATAATATATAATTTAATTTGATTTAATATGTTTTTTTATGTTTCATTTTTTATTCAAAATTTGATTTGAACGAAGGAGGCAGAATCTTGAAAATTAATCCAGGTTGTTTTCTATTTGGTCGGCTCCGTCTTGTTTTGGCTGACGTTGACACGTCACTGAGACGCAGAAAGAAGCTATCGCCGCACGTGTCATTTTTTAAAAAAGTATACTTTATAATATAATTAGCATATTAACTATGTGATATGCGAATTATTTTTATTTTATTTAAATTTAACTAAAAAATATAATTACTATTATTAAATTATTTATATATTTAAAATATATAATATAAATAATATAATTAAAATATCAAATCATAATAAAAGTAAAATTTTTAATTAAAAATAATAAATTTTAAAATATATGATAAATAATATTAGAAGAAAAAAATATTCAGAAGATATTATAAAATATATTATTAAGTATATTAACAAAGTATTAAAATAAAAACTAAAAACCTTATTACTTCAAATGAATTTAAGTCAATTTGCATCATGTTTAACTTCTTTTATTATTTTTATACACTTATACATTTGTGTAATTTTAAGATAAATTTTATTTATTTAAGAGAAATAATAATTTTAAATATTTAAATAATATATGTGATAACTTATTTTAGTGTACATTTTTGTTTGTAGAAGTTTTAGTAGAATCATATTCTTCAGCATCTATATGGCTTCTCAAATAGTTATAACTTTCGATTATTTTGAGGTTAATATCAAATACAAAATTATGTTCTAGTAAAAATTTAAATGAAATAATTTTAAATTTTGAGTAAGTAATAGTATTAAATTATAAACAATTATTTAACAAAATTATTGACAAAAGGTTTTAATGAAATGTATTAAAATACTTACCTTTTGTATTTTTTCAAGTAAATATCGGCTCTTCTTTGCATAAAATATCTTATGAACATATGTAACAGTCAATCATGAACTTCCATGAAACAAATTGCAATCATTGAGTTTTATTTCTAAAAATATGAATGGCCTATCAACTCTTCCAACATTTTTCCATTTTGGCATCTCCATATTATAATGTTTATATAAATTTAATTAAATAACATTGAAATTCATACAAATTTATAAAATTGTTTGTAATATAATATTACCTCATTTTTTATTTGAAATAACTATTCAGCTGTATACTTTAGAATTCGATTAACTTTTCTATCAAAAAAGATAAATGGTGCATTGTCAAGCTCGTTCGATACGTTGATAATTAAGTTGTACCTATGATGGAATATTAATAATAATCAAATTTACCTTCAATTGAAAAAAATGAATTGAAAAAATAAATATCCAAACGATTATGTTTTAAAAATATCTCAATAAATTTTACTTAAATTGACATATAATGATGATGAAATTTAATGATACCTTACAATTGGAAGTTATACTTGATGTACACAATCCTTGAAGCATAACTTCCATCAACTTCTAATACCTTTTTTCTATGCCCAGCACATGACAAATAATACAATCCATACCTTGTGTCAATTTGCATTATAGTGCCTTGATAGGTGAATTTTTTCTCCCTGTTGGTAGTAAAAGTAAGAAATTTTTTCTTAATTATAATTTTATATATATTTAACTAAAATCCATAGTTCTTACCTAGCATGAATTATTATTCATGACATAATAAATATCAGCTATCGATCTTCTACTTGCAAATAACATTTCTTTGGAAGACACAACTTCTTTTATTGGTGTCAAATACTCATAGACTTGAAAATCACTAACAATTTGATTGTGTTTGCATCGAAAATTATAATATATATTTTGTAAAATGCATTATATCTTTTTCGTGCTTCAATATTTTTTAAATAAATTTATATTTACTATTGGTAAATATGAAAGTACCTATTTAGAATTATAGTAGCTTTAGATATATCCAAATTCTTGTATTGCTTACGTAGATGATAAATTGTATTTACCTAAATTAAATATTCAATATAAGAAACATTGTTTAAATAATTGGGGTTAAAACTAAACTAATTAAAATAAAGTTTTTATTACTTACCTCTAAATTGTTTGACAACAGTGGATGCTACAACCGATACATTGGTTTCATTTTTGCCAGCTAAAATACTATTATCAAGTAGATATGCAACTCTACCCCAAAGAGTAATTTCCATTGAGTTTCCACTACAAGAAAAATATCAAAATAATTAGTTAAACAATTAATTTAACGTATGTATTATCTAATTAAGTATTTCTTAATGAATACCTTGCATTTTTTATTTCTAATACCTTTTTATTTACTTTTTCACCTCGAACATCTTGATTCACAATTGAACTTATCCTACTCAATTTTCCAATGACATCTTTAAGATTAAAATAGTTTCAAAACATAATTAGTCAAATTAATATAAAATATAAAATTAAAAAGCATTATATAAAGTTGAAGTCAATGGACCTATCAAACATGTTTTATCATAATAACGTGACTGAATAGCATCAAACTCCATAAACTTAAACTTATGCAACTTAAGTGAACTATTCAAACTATTAAGAGGCTTGACAAATGTATGGGGTTTGAAATAAACCATCAAATCGATTTTCACAGTTTGATAGGAGCCAAACACATTGCAAACTTGGAAATTCTGAATCATGTAAACATTTCCTTCCATCAATAGTATATAATACTTGTCGACCAAATTTTTGAATGCCATTACATGAATGTGATAATCTTATAGAAAAAAAAAAGAAATTGTTTATTGAATAATTTTATGAGAGATATATAAAATGATTAAACTATTATGTATAAATTAAGTTAAATAAAACC